CTATTGAAAATAATTGACCATTCGTCTACAATAATGAACATCTCACCAAGACAGTCCCTCATGAATCATATAGTCACAATATTGTTCATAAAAATCCTATTCGAGAAAGAACTTCATACCAACAACCAAGATAAGATGAGAGCAAGTGATTTGAGATGAAAATGACAGTCGTAAAAAAATGGTCTCCAAACCCATTTAGAAAAATTTTCAATATTTTTAATGGAAAAAGTTATTTTTTTTCAAATTATTTATATATAAAAAAAACCACTAACATCGGGAAAAAAAAAAAATCTATTTTTGATATTTTCAAAATTATTAGAATATTGTGAAATTTGAACATTATTTTAAATCATTATCACGTGAATTCTTCAAATAATGTTTTTAAAAAATAAAAGGATAAATTTGGAAAGAATCTATTACTTTTTAAATAAAAGATAAAGTTGAAATATGTTTTGAATAATAATAAATTTACTAGACATTAAAAAAAATAAATTTCCATTTTGGAGAAATAATAGAAGGATTCTTTACCTATTATTTTAATATATTTAAAAGAATAAGAATATTTAGGAAAGAAAAGATAAATTTGAAAAGAATAATAATATTTTTTAAAATAAAAGAAAAAGTTGAAAGATATTTTTAATAACATAACTATTAATTATAATGAATTTATGTAACACTAAAAAAAAATTGTCCGAAGTCAACTTGAAATAAATGAAAATTTATTAATTTTTAATGGTTTTTAATAAGAAACGGACGGCGGCAAAAAGGGGGGGGAGAAACACATCTCTTCACTAACTTTTAAGAGCGATCCAAATCCGAAGAGGAATAAACCCTACGAGAGTTTGGCGTTAATAGGCGAAACCCAAATCCCAATTCCTTTTCTCGATCATTCCATCAAGAGCCCTAGATCACGTTCTCTGTTTTTCTTTTAAAAAATCCTTTCTTTTTGCTTCACCTCCCTCCATTTCTGGCCTCTCTCAAATGGGTTCTCTTTATACTTTCTTTTAATGCTTTCCTGTGGAATCCCAATTGGAGTTTATCCGAGTGGTGGGAATTTACGGATGGACTGAGAGACCTTCTCCACTTCAATTTTGTTTGCTAATTTACTTTATACTTTGTATATTACATTAACATATACATATATACTTTACATTTCTGTTTTCAATTCGGTTTTTTGGCATCTGGGTGTTGATTCTATGGCTGTGGTTGCTGAGGATTCCAGTGAGGTAGCGGCTGCCAAGAATTTTGATCCGGAGATGAAACCCAAATCAGAATTTGATGCTCTTAAGCTTGCTGAAATGTTTAGCAATTTGAACCCTTTGGCTAAGGAGTTCTTTCCTTCCTCTTACTCTCATCATGATCGCCCAGATTTTCAGTTTTATTATCACAACTATAATCGATCCTCCATGAAAAACTTTCAGCCCGCCGATCAACTGTTGCACAATGATAACGATCGCAGGGTATTCTTTTATTTTGATCTGCTTTTTTTTGTTCTTATTTAGAGCTTGTGATTCTAAACAACAATCTGTGATTCTGTTTGATCTGGGATTGTTTGTGTTCTTGTTGATTGATTTTGAGTTTATGTGTGTGTGTTTTAATGTGATGAATTTTGCTCTGGGGTGTCTGGATCAAATTCCTGGAAAGGATCATTGTGTTATTTGATTTATTTAATGTCTCTTGACACTGGAAATTATTGAGGATGTCTAAATTCAATCCATAGTTTCATTGCCAGAATTGGATTGAATTAAACTTTTTGCTTCATCAGGGATTGTTTGTTCTTACTGATTGATTCCAAGTTAATGTATGTATGTTTTTAATGTGGTGAAATTCACTCTTGTGATGGGAATTTTTCCTAATTGAGTAATTGGAATTGTTCACTGTGCTATTGGTATTATTTACTGTTCTTGACCCTGAAAATTATTTTAGCAATCTGTGTGTGTTGATCACTTCCCATAACAACTGAATTGTACTGCAATTTTTAGGAATCATATCATGTAATTGACTGCTATAGTTTTCCATCACATTGAACTCGGTTCACATCTCCGAACGAGAATTTTATGGTTCGGATTCTTGATAATACTGGCCATTCCTGTTTTGATTTGTCTGATTCACCTTCCAATTATCTATTAAATCACCTCCCATCTGTTTGGTATAATGATAACTCGTCATTATCTGTTTATGTTGCTACAAGTCTTTTATTTTTGTGAATGATATATCGATTCTTACTTCTTTTCCCATAACTTCAAGAATTTATCAAGAGATCCATATGCTTTTATGTTACTTTCTGTTTGTTACTGATACACCCTGGTCTACTCCCATTCCTTGCGAATTTACTTAAACAACAAGAATTTCTTCATACATGTATTGAAGAACATTGATGCAAAATAATAATCAATGGGGATGTTCTCATTTAATACTTTAGATTCCCACGTCCCGACTGTCTTGAGCTTACTTGGAACGATAACTGTAACTATATTATTATCCGCCTCAATCCTAAGAAATAATCAAAATACATGCTTCATCATATTGTCTTACGTTCTTGGCTCTACCATGTTTTAGTTTTCTTGTGTCTAGTATTAGGATCTTAAGACCGATAAATTTCACTCAAGGTTTGTGCTGGGCACTTGAACTTGGATTATTAGCCTATCTTCTACATAAGTTACCTCGATTACTTCAGTGTTGTTAAGTACTAAAATAGTATGAAAATGTTTGTCTAGATTGTAGCTCGTTGATTGATCGAACAATAATGACTAGGACAGTTCATTTTTGTGATTCTCGTACGCTCATTATTGACTATGTTGAGATTATCTGTGGTTAAATACAAAAGATATAGCCATATTGGAATGAAACATATGGGTAGCCGCCTGTAACATGCCGAGAATATTCAGTAAAATAAGCGTTGCATCTTAGTTGTGTCTATTCGACTGGATATAGTTGGGATGCTTTTATAAATTCTTGTCAGGATAAAATTTCATTTCTTGTACTTGTTCTATGCTATGTTTTTACGGGCTTCCTTCTCGCTTCATTCTTCAGAGAAGAAATGACAATAATAACCAGGGGAGAAGAAGAATGAATAATAGATCTATCAGAGCTCAGCAAGAGGAAAGTGTAATGAGGACTGTTTATGTCTCTGATATTGATAAGGATGTGAGTATCATATCTTTATAAGCCTAGAGTTTATTATGATGCATTGAGATAATTTTGAAATTGAAAGCTTGTTTCTTATCTAGGTCTCTGAAGAGGAGCTTGCCAAGGTATTCAGGGAGTATTGTGGATATGTAAGTATACTCATTCTTCGGGTTCTGTCATTTTGTCGGGAGGGTGGAAGTCTAGAGTGAATGTAGTTGATTGATGTTTTTAAACGGGGATGTCGAGGTGGGTTGCCACTGGACTCGGTTCTGGCTTTCAACTCGTAACTATCGTCTTATTTGCATTCTTCTTAATGAAAAGACATGGTTTTTTGTTTAATTTATATTGGCCATGGGATGATAGCTATTCTTTTATAGGTTAATGATTGCCGAATTTGTGGTGACCCCCATTCAGTTCTTCGTTTCGCTTTTGTGGAGTTCGCTAATGAGCGTAAGTTGATCTTTGCACCTTGAAATCCTTTCCAAGGAGAGAGATGTAGTTTGATCTTACATGCCACCTGGAATGTTTTGGGAACAGCTAGTGCTAGAGCAGCCACAGGGCTGAGCGGGACGATGGTAGGGTCGTATCCAATTAAGGTATTGCCTTCAAAAACTGCCATTCTTCCTGTGAATCCTACCTTTCTTCCCAAGGTACGGTGTTATCCTTTCTCTTCCTATATGGATATATACATATATGTATACATACATATATATATATATATATTTATGCTCCCTACAAAATTTCTGTTGTGACAGTCAAATGATGAATGGGATATGTGTACCAGGACTATCTACTGCACAAATATAGATAAGAAGGTGCTATTACTTACTAAAGTGTTTCAAATGGAATGGAACAATGTTGAACTGATGGGATTTAAAATCTTTAATCTTGTTTTGTTTTTTTGTTTATAGGTATCTCAGATTGAAGTTAAGAATTTCTTTGAAACATCTTGTGGTGAGGTAAGATATAAACAGACAGCATATTCGTTTTTTCGACGATTTTAACCGACTGTTATTGACAAGAAAATCTTCCTTTTGAATTTAGGTAACTCGCTTGAGGTTGTTGGGTGATCAGTTGCATTCGACCCGTATTGCTTTTGTCGAGTTTGCTATGGTAATCTTTTTCTCTAACGCATTGTACTAAGTACGTCTCGTCTTATGCCAGTTTTTATTGATAAAGAAGATCAGTATGAACCTTAGAACATTACATAAAGCAATTGTCTTCATGTTTTGTAAGAATATCTCTGTTTGTTTCCATGAGCAGGCAGAGACTGCTCTTCAAGCCCTCAACTGTAGTGGCATGATCTTGGGTACTCAGCCAATCAGGTATGGTTTCTTTACTGCTAACACCCTCTCACTTTCTAAATATGTCCCTACATTAGTTCAGATACATATTTTTTTGTGAAATTTTGTAGGGTAAGTCCTTCGAAGACGCCTGTTAGGCCACGAGTTACTCGCCCGGGAAGCATTAAGCCATCTTAGAAGGCAAATATTCTCCGATATCAGTGGATGAAATTCAGACAATGTATGAATTATCCCAAGTGTTGAGAAGTTGGCTAGTTTCTTTGCTGAACTTGTTTATAAATCTTCTTCAATTATAGTTCATTTGGCTGAGTTCCAATCTTTGACAATTATTTCCCTCCCCGACAAGTTCTTAGTTTTTTTCTTTCAATCGCTACTAGTTAATGTTAATGTTGTTGGAGATGGTACTATATTATGCATTACTTTCTATCTCTCGAGTTTTATGTTGTTTGAACAGAGACATCAATCAAGAGATTAAAAGTTTATTAAATCCTTTAATCTTTAAGAAAGGGTATCGTTTAGATTCTATCTAACACTTCGGTGGAGCAATTTAACATGGGGAAAAGATAACAAAAGTCGGTAAATTATGTAGGGAGTTACAAGCAAGGACGAGGGCTTTGATAGCCATAAGAGAAGCCATAAACATTAGAGCAAGAAGAAAAAATTTGCCCTACTTTTGGAGAGCTTTTGAGATAGATGTCCTCAAGCACTATGTCCTTGCATGGCCTGGTTTTACTGCATCTCAATGTCACTGCTGAGGCTGATTTGCTACTTCCCCATATGTTTTTGAACGTCACGTTGCTTATTTGCACCCCTGATGACATCTAACACAACAAAGCGTTGCATACAATAAAGAACAACGTTGCATACAATAAGGAATCGACATATCTATTATGATTCTTACCCGTTGGTCGCATGGAGGAACAGGGCAATATTGTTGATCAATAATGATGGGGTTTCCAACCTCATTCATGAAAATATCTTCGTAGTGTATGTTATAAGCATTTACATTTGAAGATGTAGCCCATGTCTTGATTCTCACACCATCAGTCGTGTTCTTAAAAGTGCAATTCCTCATTGTGATCCCCGAAACATCCTCTTTGTCATACTTTCCCAAGCTTCCAATGCTAATACCATGTCCTGGGCCACAAACGACGTTCGAAACATAGATATCATTGCTTCCGGAGAGTATTGAAATGCAATCATCACCGGTACCAATAATAGAGTTTGTAATATCAATATTATTAGAATTTCCAATCTTAATCCCATCCGTGTTAGGACTCTCACTAGGAGCAGAAATACGAATCTTCGTAATGTTCATCTTGCTACATCCAAAGAGCAAGAAATGATTGTTCTTGCTATTGGTCGAGTGCACGTGATGAACTTTCGAGTTCGTTATAAAATCGAATCTCATCGTCTGAAAAACAACAAAACGTTAATAGATTTACGAGATTGGTAAAGAAAAAAAAGATGTAAATGGGAATGGGAATGAGAAGAAAACTGACCGTAGGAAGAGATTGGCAATTAGGGTTTTTCTTGCACTCGTTTCGTGGCCAAGCCACAGATCCTTCACCATCCAATGAACCACCTCCACTGACAGTCAACTGATCGACATATCGAAAGTTCATCCAACTGTCGGACGCGAGAAAAGACATGTCGGTCGGAGCCTTTAAAATGCCCTTAATCACAAAGGCCATTTGCCCTTCACATGGCCCCAAAAACAGCACACTTCTCAACTTGAATGTACCTTTTGGGACATATACCCTTCCCCTCCCCTTCCATTCACACGCATCCTTCCATGCTTCTAAAAATGCCTAAAAAAAACAACAACACTGTTTAGACCCAACACACATGACCTACGACTTGAATTTTGAACCGACATACCTCGGAGTTATCCGTTGTTCCGTCCGGGATAGCTCCATAACGAACAACATTGAAGACTTTAGATCTGCCAACTCGAACTCCTTTTGTAATGGAAAACAAGAACAAGAAGAAAACAACCGACAAACCCCGAACAACGCCACATTTCTTCAACCCCATTTCTTCTTCTTCTCTGAAATGGATTTGATTTGTTTTCACATTTTCATTACAATTATTATATATAATGATCAATAAAGTTACCAAGTTTGCTAACATTCCTCAATTAAAATGTTTTTTTTTTTTTTCATAAATATATTAGAAATAAAGATGAAGGATTTAGTGCCCAAATTTTTAAGAAAATAATAATAATAATAATTTTTAGCCATTTTTTCTTCATTGTCCAAACTTGGAAATGTTTGCATATTTGGAATCAGTTTCAAAGCTGGTTTCAGTTTCTTTATTTGATTGGTTATATCTGAAATATTTTTTGTAGTAATGATCCTGAGGTAGAGTCTATGGTATTCAACAATATGGGCCTTTGGATCGATGAGGGCCCACTGGAGATGAGGAATCTGACGGTGTGGATGAGTGAAGATGGGAGTTACTGTGGGCTTTGTCATACCGGATAATTTGGAGGGCATGTAATGCAGCGGATATTATTCCTTATTTTCTTATACGATAATTAATACGATATTTTATAATATTCACTTTTTTTTTTTTTTTTTTTTTTTTTTTTTTTTTTTTTTTTTTTTTTTTTTTTTTTTTTTTTTTTTTTTTTTTTTTGCATTTATTTATTTAATTATTATTATTATACCTTTAAATTAAATGTATTTATTAAAAAAAAAAACAATATATAAATAAATAAAATTTTATTTATTAACTTATTAATAAATTTATTTATTTATTTTTATCTAACCATGTTATATTTTATTTTAATTATGCTTTTTTTAGAGAGGCTTTTTGTTCGAACGACTTTTGTACAAATTTTAAGCTCACAATTACGAGGAATAGCTAAAATTACTGTAACTCATTAGTTTAAACTTTTTCGAACCTAAACTAACTTAAATATTTTGAATTAAGTTCATTATCTGTTATTTGAGTTGAAATAATTTATAACTTTAACGGTTTAGTTGGGTCTAAAAAAATTGCCAACCTAGCATATGAATTTCATATCTTGAACTTATAAAATCGCTAAATTTTGATCCTAATTTTTTTAATTATAAATATTAGACAACTCTTATTATATTTGCAAGACTCTAATATATATATTACTTATTTCTAATTCGATAGGCGTAATATTTACGTTCTTATCTTAATTCAAATTTAAAGATAAGCAAGGACCCATTTTTACAAAATGAAGATAAGTCCGTATATAATTTGTATTATACTTTATTTATATATAGTATTAAACATTAATAATGACATTAACAAAAAAAATATTAAATTTAAAGAGAATGGGGGAGAAAAAGGGAATAAAATTTATAAAAGGAATGGAAATTAAGAAATCAGGATAAAAAAATAGAAAAATCGTGAGGGGCAGTATAGTAATTTTTTATAAAGGGAATGGAAATTAAGAAATCAGGATTAAAAAATGGAAAAATCGTGAGGGGCAGTATAGTAATTTTGATAAAAGGAATGGAAATTAAGAAATCAAGATAAAAAATTGAAAAATCGTGAGGGGCAGTATAGTAATTTTATAAAAGGAATGGAAATTAAGAAATCAGGATTAAAAAATGGAAAAATCGTGAGGGGCAGTATAGTAATTTTACAAAAGGAATGGAAATTAAGAAATCAAGATTAAAAAAATGGAAAAATCGTAGGGGCAGCATAGTAATTTTCATAAAGGAATGGAAAACCGTGAGGGGGCAGCCTAGTAAGCTTTCATAAGATTTCATAACTTTGATATCATATTGTCTACTTTGACCATAAGCTTTTATAACTTTTCTTTGGACTTTCCAAAATGACTCGAGAAATAGTATTATTTGATTATAAACTTATGATCATTTTTTAAATTAGCCGTGACTTTCATCCTACAAAAACTTCTTTCTAAAATTCATAATTTTTTTTTTATCGTACCACTTTTGACTAAAAACAATTCGAACGAGAATACTCTAATTCATAAAAAAAGGATGTGAAAAGGGGATTAACCGAGGTAACGTGGTTGTTGCAAGAGGAGGAAGATTAAGTTGACTAATTGGGTTAGTTGATTAGTTTAATTGGATGGACCAATTTTGTCCAATTGAATCAACCAATGGTTTTTATTCTAGTTTGGCTTATATTGGCTCGTTCTTCAATTTGATTTTATGGTATTCTCATAATTTCTCTTATTTTAAAGAATTAAAATTTGAATGAGGGACAATTTTTAACTAAGGTAAGTAGTTATTTGGATAATGTGACATCAATAGTTAGGATAAATTCGATGAATCTAGATAGCATAACCATTGAATCGGTCATGAGACATCAATGTTTGAGATATCAGCTCATACGAACTAGACTATATGATATTGATTGTTGGGATGAGTCACACGACATCAAATATTGAGATTAACTCAACTAAAAGTAGTGTGATATAAATAATTGAGGTAAACTCGAACCAACGCTCTATCCATAGTTACTTACTTACTGATCAATGACTATGCAAAATCTTCTTTAATTTTGAAGATGATATTTCAAAAAAAAATTAAATAGGATTAAAAGTTAGGTCGTGAATATTTATTTAAAAAATAAATTTTTGAAAAAGAGATTTTACCATATATAAATTAATTAATATAAACCATGTGGCTTCAAAGTCAAGTCCCAAATATTAAATCCAGTCCATATTTTTAACTATCTTTTTGAATTGTAAGTATTTAAATCAATAATTGCAAGCCTAAAAGTCAAAAGAAGCACAGTAAATTTTATTTATTTTTTTTCTTTTTAGATAAAGTAAAATTAAATAATACAAAATAAAGGATAAAATAAGAAATTCTTCATCTCAGCCACTTTTTGAGATAAAAGTAAAAATACTTTTCTATTTTTTGAATAATCAACGTATACATATCATTTTTTTTTTAATTTTAATTTTCAAATTAAACCTAGAGATGTCTATGGATCGGCAGGGACGGGAGCCTTATCTATTCCCATTCTCGCCACCTATTTTATTTCCGGTCCCAAAATTTCTCATTTATTTTTAAGAAGGTCGAATTTTTCATGAATTTTATTTTGTTTATTATTATTTTTAAAAATATATTTATTATAACGTTTTGATTTTTCAATATAATTTTTACTGAAAAATTATAAAAAAAAATCTTAATAAATTAATATTACAGCATCCCTTGAGCCATTAAAAAGAATCTGCAACCCACTTTTAGTTAAATAATTTATTTTTAATATACATATATTGGGCTAAGTACGAATGAACATCATCCCGTCCTGTCTAAATTGAAAATATCTTTCTTGAGACTCCGCGAATAAAATGGATATCTATAATTAAATTATTGTAATTTTGAATATGACAAATATCTCGTAAGGACATATACATTCTCCGACTTAGCTCCAATAATAGCGACATGTAACGTGCAACTTAGAAGAATGAAATGAAAGAAATTAACAAATAAAATTTGAAAATTGAAAATTTCTAAGTATTTTTCTTTCCATAATTTCCCAACCGAGACCACAATTGAACCAATAATTTTGCCTCAGTCAAACTAGTTTCAATTTTCTTTCTTCTATCAAATTAAGACCTTCGCAAGGTTAGAAGTGAAAATGTAATTCCATCAAATTCATATTTAGATAAATTGGATATTAGAGTAAAAACTATCTTCACAAACGTACGCCAATCGTTTTAATATATTCCTAAATTTGAAGTTGGTAGGATCAAGGTACTGAAAAGAATAATATATCTTGTTGGTATAAGTAATAACTATAAATTTTTGAAGACTTTTTAAACTATAAAGTTTATATCGTTATAATCACCCTCATACAGATATATGATCTCAGTTCATTTATGTATTTCTCATCTATTTGAATATAGTGATAAAAAGAAAAAAAGGTGTCACGTACATTACATTGATTCCTTGAGTTGACTAATTCAAAAGGTCGTGTAGATGTTTCTAAAGCGTAAGTTTAAATTAAAGGTTTGTGGGTCTGTTCAAACCAAAAAAAGTCATATTTAGTTGGTATTCTTCTCAGCATCACCTTTTCAAAGAGATTTATATTTGTTGAACTTTGAAGAACAAAAGTCTTTGTCTTAAAAATTCAAATTTTCAATTAATATGGAAATTCAATTATAATACACAAAACTTAATTTTGTAGTCAATTTGTTGGCAATAAATTAGAGTTTTAAAGGCGAAGAAAAGAGCACCTTTTTGCGACTTGCTTCCCATCCACACAACGGTCAACTTCCTTCATCTCCAAATTAAAACTCTCATCTTTTTGTTGTGTAATTATAAAAACCCTTCACCCCTTCCATTAAAATCCCAAAACCCATCAAAACCCACTTCTCAAAATTCATCCTTTTTGCTTTCATTTTCTCCATTGATGTCAGGTGGCGAAGCTCATTCGACCAGGGTTGTGATTATCGACACCAAGTATGTCCACACAGACGCCAAGAGCTTCAAGACCGTGGTGCAGAAGCTCACCGGGAAAGATCCAGCGGCGGAGGAGAACCGCCAAACGGGAGATGCCAATAATTCATCGTTCAAGAAGTTCCAAGCAGAGCTGCGAGAGATGCCAACAATTCATCGATGAGTTTTATTTTGATTCAATAAAATGAATATATGTAGACTTAGATGTCCCTTTTGATCATCTTTTTGTTACTTAGTATAATTCTTTTATTAATTTTTGTTTCTTTTTCTTTTCCCTTTTGTTTTGTTTGAATATATGTATATGTGATTAATAATTATTTATTATTTAATTTAGTCGATATCAATCTAATTCAACATCTTAACGCAAACATTAGTGTATGATTAAACATGTATCCATCATCCTATAAACACGTAGAAAACCAAATAAATGTCATGTTATGTAGTGAGTGGAGCCGAATTTACAGAAATAGTAAAATTTTACTGGGCATTATTAAAATAGAATTTTGTTTTATTAAAATAAAGTATATTTAAAAAAAAAAAAGGAAAAAAGAGAGAACCTTGAGTAATTACCATGTTTGAAAGTTATTTCCCCTACTTTTTCAGACTAATTTTAAAAAAGAATGGTTCTAAGTTTGATCGGGTATTGATTCCTTAGGTTATGTAAAACGTATAAATCTCGCCGGTAAGATACGTCCACTGCAAATGGAATTGTGCTCGACAATTGCTACGAAAGAACCACATACGAAAAGGATTTCAATCAATTTGAATCAACTCGGATCGATTTTATTTAATTTTCTCCAATTTTACTTAAAATAATGAAAATAAATAAATAAAATGTGTAATAAGTGAATTTAACAATATAAAAAAGAAAAAAAGAAAAAAAAAAAGGTGAAAAGGGGGGAGGGGGTTTTGAGTCAGAAAATCTGGGATTTTTGGTCAACAAATTTAACGGTATGATGCAAATGTGGAACAAAAAACAGCCATTCCTGTGGGCCCCACTCTCCTTCTTTTCTTTAATCATCATTCATAATAAATACTACGCTCCCATTTATTTTACTCCCTTGGCTATTGCGTGTACTACACTCTCCCACTACCATCCAAATGGAGGAATGTTTATAATATACTATTTTTTATTTTTCATCTTTAAAAAAAAAAAAAAAAAAAAAAACTCCCCAAAATAGGGAAAAAGTGAAGTTTTTTTTTTTTTTCTCCATAAATTATTTATTAACATTTTTTAATATTGTTTATTTAGACAACCATAAATAAACAAAACTTCCATTTCTACTATCTTCTCTCTTTCTTTAATTAATTTGTAGCCAAGAAAAATATTTTAAAACCATATAATAAAAATAAAAGCCAAATAAATGAATAAAAAATCATCTAATATTTTAAAAATCATGANTTATTACGAAAGTATATGATTAATATCGCTAATTAGTTAAAAAATATATTTTTTTAACAATAAATCATAAATTTAAATAATAAAGAAATACATTTAAAGCATTGGAATAAGAAAAGACAAAACAAAGCACATTTAATGCTCAAAAATAAAAATTTAGTTATACAATTTAGATTCCCAAAATGGAAATGAGCAAGAGAAAGTGCACTACACGACAAAGAGAAGCGCGTGAAGATAGAGGGAAAAAGAAGGCGGTCGGATGACCCAGCTCTGGTTTCGCCTTTATAGTAATGAACGATGATGATGATGGATCATGATCATTATACATAACTATGTATGTATGTATGTATTATGTATGTATGTATGTATTTATGTATGTATATACGTATGTGGATGATGAGATTATTCTTTTCTTGCTTCCTCACTTCACCGCCCGTTCCTTGCTTCCATGGATACTCATCCAATTCTGAAAGATTTCTCGTCAATGTTGAAATTTCCCGTCAGATTCTGAAAATTAAATCCAAAAGCTAACAAACCCATTTTTGCTTTGGAAGTATTGTGTTATAATTTCTCTCAATTTTTAGGTTCTTGTATTGTACGAATTTGCAAAAGTCGAAGCAGCTTAATAGAGAGAGCTTGTGATCTTTCTCTCTCTCTCGCGCGCGCTCTGTGAGAGAAGAAGGTTCTGATCGTGTTCCTCTTCTTGGTAGCAAACCAAATCTTTCTGTCTTTCATTCTCTCTTCCTTACACAGACTATCTGTCTATCTGCACTCCACATTTTGTCTTCTTTACTCTCCCTCCCTTCCAAATTCCAGGTGGGTTTGCCTTTTCTCTCCCGTTTTTAATTCCCCTTCTCGTTTTGCTCGTGTTCGATTCTTCTTTTGTGTGCTTGAAGACGGATTCTGGTGTTGATTTCTTTTTTCCCTTTCTTGTGTGTTCTTTGTTTTTGAATTCTGTGTTTCTTGTTTCAGTGGCTTCTTCCCTTCTTTTGTTCATGTTCTGCAATTGATTCTGCGTTTTTTTTTTTTGGTGATTTCCTGTTCTGCAAATTCCAGGTGGGTTTACACTTGCGCTGCCGTTTTTCTTTTGTGTGGCTGAAGACGGACTCCGGTGTTGATTTTCTTGTTTGTTTTTTGTTTTTGAATTCTCTTCTTTCGTTGCTGTTCTGCAATTTCTTGTGCGTGTTTGGTAGTTTGCTGTGGAAGTATGTTTAGTGAAGTGGGTATGTTTGGTTTGATTGTTTATGTGTCTCTTTTGATCAAAATTTGTCTTCCCCTCGACAAATTTTGATGGGTTCAGAATGCTTCGGCGCTAAGAATTTAGGGTTCGTCCTTGATTTTAATTTCGATTTTCGAGCTGGGTGGTATTGCTTTTTTATGAATTCTTTTGTTTCGTGCAGCACATTCTTTTTTGTTTCTTTGCTTTTGCGTTATTTGGATACTGATTGTTGTGGAGGAACAGAAATTAGGGTTCTGAACATTATGAATTTGTCCGAATCTTGTTCTTCATTATGTGTTGAAGCATATTTTCATTCTCTTTCTTAGGGTTTGATTTTGCTCGGTTGAGAATTCAAGTCAAGAGAGTATATATATATAGTTCTTCAACTGGTGGTGCTATGGTTAAACAGGTACAGGGCTCTGATCATAACTCTCCAACCTTATGGATGGAAAATTCTTGACTGTTTAGAAAAGAGTAATTCTGGTACTCAGATTCTTTTTTCTTGCTTTGCTTTGCTTTCATGACACGCAGTATTTTGAGGATTTCTCTTTGCTAAGGATATCACGAATCGACACGGATGGATAACGTATTGTATCATGAGGACAGTTTATGAATCTAGAATTTCAAGGCTTTACCTGTTTTAAACAAGGAACTGGTATAGCTCATGCGGTTCCTTGTTTATAGAAGTGATCGTTAGAAAGTTTCTGCTGATGCTGAAATCAGCTTAGTTTGGATCAAGTTTTGGAACAGTAATTGATTCAAGGAAATTCTTTTTACATGGGTAATAAGCTAGGAAGGAGGAGACAAATAGTTGATGAGAAGTACACAAAGCCTCAGGGGCTTTACAACCATAAAGAAGTGGATCATAAGAAACTTAGGAAACTCATACTTGAATCAAAGCTAGCTCCATGTTATCCTGGAGATGAAGAATCTGCCACTGATCTTGAAGAATGCCCCATATGCTTTCTGGTTTGTCATCACTTAATCTCATTTGTCTTTTTCATTGTCTTCTTCGTTGGATCTGTAAACGTCTACCGATCTCCTTTGCTAAATATCTTCCATTTTCTATATTTTTGGATGTTGTAACCTTTTCCCCTTCCTTTCAGTATTATCCGAGTCTCAATCGATCAAGATGTTGCATGAAAAGCATTTGTACAGGTACGTGGGATATATTTCACGATTGATTTAGGTTACGAATTTTATTTCGTCTGATTGTCCTTCTCCTTCCAGAGTGTTTTCTACAGATGAAAGTTCCAAATTCTACCCGGCCTACACAGTATCCTTCACCATGATGATATGCTTTATTAGTTGAATTGAAAGCTTTACTTTACAACTTCCATTCTTGTATATCTTAACTTGAGGAGGTGTCCTTTTTGCAAAACCTCAAATTATGCTGTGGAGTATCGAGGCGTGAAATCAAAAGAAGAGAAGAGTTTGGAGCAAATTGTAAGATTCATATTTGGTATTGTTTTTACATTGGAACTAAGGGATAACTAAAGCTTCTGTTCCCTGTTAAAATCTATAATTGAACAACATTTATTGAAATTTCCAGGAAGAACAGCGTGTTATTGAAGCAAAGATTAGAATGCGGCAGCAGGAACTTCAGGATGATGAGGAAAGAATGCAGAAAAGACATGGATTAAGTACCTCTAACATTGATACGACTGCGGAGGATGGTGAAGACAGCTCTGCAGCTGGTAGGATCTTACATCATTCAGGTGTTCTGTGTTTTGTAATTTTTTTCGGGCTGCTGAGCAATATTTATCATCATTTTATGTGCTTTATTTTGGCAGTTCCATTGTCTCAATCTCCTTCCGAAGATGAGGAAATAGTTAGCTTGCAAGATTCTTGTATGACCCCAATCAGACCGCCTCCGCCTCCTATTCCTATTAGGAGCAACAGGTTCTTTTCATTCTATTCTAGTATTGATGTTCTCCACTAATAAGTGGAATGATTAGACTAGCGATAGAACTCCTTTGTGTATAATTTTCTGGAAAAAAGGAAAACAAATGTTGCTTGTTGCTTAATTAACTACATTTTGGACAGAGAATAAGTTATATTTTCTTCCAAGCCTCCCAAAATGTTGGTAACAGAAGGAAGTTCCACAAAGCTTGGCCTATGTCTTGGATGGTTTGTCGAAGGACCGGGGTTGAAGAGGAAGTAATCGACGACTGCGAATGTTGGAAGGATGATGAATTCACATGTGAGCTACTTCGATCTGGAGGAAGGAGTTTTGTGATATTTAAGGAGATAGAAGAGATTATTTCCTTTTCTCTAGCTTTGTGCTAATAACGGGGTATTTTTAGTGGGTTAGGACAATCGCAATGCAAATCACTTACAATTTGCAAATGTAGGGTGGATGATGAAGAAAAATTATAGAACTCAAATGATTTTAGAGATAGGGTGGGGTGGGGAAGACAAATCTCCCCAATAGGAGCGAACTCATTCCCGCATTCGTTAGCCATAAAGCTGGAAGTGGCAACGACTTACCGGTTGGTCACTTTTGAAGGTATCTCTAGTGATCCTTTACCCTATTCATGTCTGACTGCGTACATGAATGTTTCCCCACTTATTAGGCAGACGACATGACTAGTTTCGCATAATGCAAACTTTGTTGGTTGTCAGAATTGATTATCTAGCTGTAGCCGAAGTTTTGCTCCTGGATTAGTAAGCAGTCTGTAAGGATGTTTTTCCGAAATATAAGCGGTGGCTTAGCACCGCCAGAGTGGTGCAGAAAGTGTGGGAACTTCGTCATGGGAGAAGTTTAACTGATCAAGAGGCTATCGAGTGGCCTGGTTGTATCGATTTTCTTCAGACTTTCCAACCCTAGGGGTTCTGGAAGAGGCAGTCTTGAGAATTCTAGCTGATACTCTGACAGCTAGACATATTTGTCTAATTTTATGAAAGCTGTTTGGAAGTTTAAATGCTCCAACAATGATAGACTCTTTCATGTGGAGAGTAGTGTCAGTCTAAAAACTTGAAGAAAACACAATTTTTTTTATTAAGACGAAGCAATAGATTTCATTGATTCTAGATTCGGTTCATCCTTTTAGTAATCGTATGAACTGGGATGTACCTATTCCGATTCAAAATGAGAAAAGAATCGGGCAGCAGTAGGAGCCCTAAAGAGGAAAGGGGCCGGAACTAAACCAACAATTAGGATAAACACGAAAATTAAAGCTTCTATAAAGATGGATACCCCCACCAGAAAGGGAAGAACGCAGCCTCCATAGGTGGATTACGAGAAGGACCTCCGATCAGTGACAAGGGTACATGGGACGAGAGTACATATGCTCAAATCAGACTTTATAAGCCTAATTTTTGTTATTGCTGTTGCGGACAAATTTGGTCTGTTGTTTTCTTGTCGGAACTAAATTTATATGTTTGCATCAGAACCATATTTATATGTCTGTGTTCGTACTTTTATGATATGGTCGGGTTTGCACGCTGGAGTCTAATAATGTCCCATTCAGAAATTTCAGGGATGATGAATTTGAACTGGATCTTGAGGACATAATGGTTATGGAGGCAATCTGGCTCTCAATTCAGGTAAAAATAGCTCACCCATATATGGTAGAACTGTTCTTGTTTTGTTAATCTTTAGTTTGACTGAAGTGCATAATAATTGAAATGTTCAGGAGAAAGGAAGGCATCAAGATCCAGTTTACACTGAGGATACTTCCTCTGATCAATATGCGACAGAAGGTCGATATGTCTCTCCGACCACCGTTCCATTAGCTGGAACATCATCATCGTCATCATCATCCCCATCTGGAGGTCTTGCTTGTGCCATGGCTGCTCTTGCAGAGCAGCAGCAGCAGCAGATAGGCAGGGGACCGTTATCAACTTGCGCAAATGGAGATTCACCCGTCTTCAATATGCATCCTGAAGCCACGGAGTTCTACAACAGGATGAACACCAATGTAGAAAACTATCCACCACTACAAATCTCAATCAACACAGAAAATTATACGCCTGCACAACTCTCTATCAACACGATACCGATACCAGATTGTAGGATGATCTTAACAAGAAACGATGAAGAGTGGAATCTGGACAATCAATCTGAAGAAGATGAAGCTGGGACAAGCTACCCAACCTCTGACTCGACCGAAGATAATGGTATTGACTGTGCCTTGCCCACAGTCCATACGATTGATGGGGGAAACCAAACACCGATACCCATCATTCCTCAGAACTTTGAGGAACAGATGATGCTAGCCATGGCTGTTTCTCTAACCGAGGCTCGGGGAGTGTCTACTGGACCCGGGCATTCCTGGCAGCAGTGATTATGATTATGATTATGATCAAATCTTAACTTGAACATTCGGTTGTAGCCAATACCAACATAGCTGGCAGAGAGAGCGCGTTGGTGTCGTATCCGAGCTGCAAGGTAGGAAATCGACACAAGGAGTGGCGTGATGTTTGTCCAAAGGTTGATCTCCCATCGGGTGAAAAAATGAAAAAGAAGTGTAAAAATGAAATACAAATTCTTTTAGTGAATTAAAATTTGGGTGGTTCATTCAAGTTCATGGATGGATGGCAATATTTCCCCTTTTCTTTTCCTAATTATTGAAAATATTGTTTCAGCTTGTGGAAGTTTATAGTCCCTTTCTCTAGTGCACCCTGTAAAATATGGTCTATATGTGAAGTCTCTCTCTCTCGAACTCGAACTCGAACAAGCAGGTTAGAGATAGGAGTAAATCTCTATTCTTTCTCCCTGACGTCCTTCCCTACTCCATTGCCATCTGTGTATTCGAGTTTGACCCGAACAAAAAATAAATTGAAGCACTTGATTTTCATCACTAATAATAAATCATGACATCCAAATTTTGGAGTAAGATAGAGAGATATTAGTGAAGAATGAAAAGATATTTGTTTGAGGTAAGAGATTAGATCACGTGAATGGATAGCTCCTATTTTCATAGTTTATCTTCCGATTACTAAAATGTACTTTTTCTTTTGTAGACCAAAATACGAGCTTTTTGGGGGAAACTACTATGCAAACCAATTTGAACATGATTCAGTGAATAAGATATTAAGTAAAGATGAGTGAATAAGATATTAAGTAAAGATGAAAGTCAAATATCATTTGTCTGCTATAGGAAACAAGAGAGAGGAATTACAAACCCAAAGACTATCCAAACATCTAAGAACCCTAATTTTGGAAGCTAAAAGGGGGAGAGAGAGAGAGGGGACTATATTTGAAAATAAAAAAGAAAAAAGAGTAAAGATTAGATCATGAGGCTGCAATTCTCTCAAAGTGCACAAGCCTGTTATCTGCCAACCTGGAGTTGTAAGCTGATCTTTTGTACTCGAACCAAGTGAACTCTTTGTACAAACTTTCTTCTCCTTTCATGAGCGAAGGCAACGGCGCTATCTTTTCACTCAACGGCGGCCCCCCGAAGTATATCATTGAAACTCTTGACTTCAACCTGTTCGTCAATACTCTGTGCTTCACGCTTTTGAATCTTCCATTCGTCATCACCTTCACCAACAAAAAGTTCACTTCTTTTTAGTTTATATCAACAAAAAGTTCCTGTCTTTTACTTCTTTGGTCGAAATCAAAACTGGGTTTGGATTGTCGTGTTGTTTATTGTACCTGTAAAGAGTCACCTACGTTGATGAAGAAGGAGCTTTGATCGGGAGGAACGGAAATCCAATTCCCATCAGCAAGAGATATTTGAAGTCCTGAAGTGTTATTCGATCTCAAAACCGAAATGATCTGTGGGTCTGTGTGTTCTCCAAATCCAATCATGTTTGTCCCTTTCAAAGCATGAAGCTCTGGACATGGCGGGTAATGGTTCACCCTGAAAACAGAGTCGCTCTCTTCATCCATCAACAGCTTGCTGAACGCATTCCTCTGCTGAATCTTCAAACCTTCCGCCATTAGTTCAAGGATTTCACACGCCATGTTTCTCACAGCCGAGATGTAATCGTTCACAGCAGAGCTACAACACAGAAACAGAGCACACAAGGTCAGAAACAGAGTAGAAAAACAGAGCGTTTAGAAGAACGGGGATTTTGGTTACCGGAGCTTTTGTGGGTCTTGGCCAAAAATGGAGAGGAACCCATCAGATTTGGACTCAAGGTGCGTATTCAAGAGGAGATATTCAACCCAGCCCACGTCGCCATTGCGGCCAATTTGTTTATTGCCATAGCCAAAAGGAGAAGGGGGGCCGGCCCTCTGTTTTTCAGAGAGGGGAAGGGAGAAGAATTTGGTGGATTCTGATTCAAGAGTGGAGATGAATTCCATGGGAACGCCATGGTTGACGACCTTGAAGAATCCAAGCTCTTCACAGGCCTTGACGATAAGATGCTTAGCATCTGGTGCAGAAAGGTCAATCAACGGAACCCCAGAGAAAAATGCAGCAGAGGAAGAACCAGCAGCAGCCATGGAGTTTCTCATGTAGGAAGAAGCCATCTGTTTGATAGATGGCTTAGACAAAACCACCATTGATATGGGTTTTGAGAGCTTCGAGTGAAAAACAAGAAGAAGGAGAATGAAAGCTTCCCTTTTTCTCTCTTCTTCTTCAGAGAGACAGAGGAAGAACAAATGGGAGGCAATGCAGTGCTGATGGAGGGGAGGGTATTTATAAGAAATGGAAATGGTGGGTTGTAGAGAGAGAAAGAGAAAGTGGTCTTTTTCTTTATAATAATAATCTTTCAAAGGCTAGTTTTAGAATGGAGGCTGGGGTTTTTGTTTTACACAAAGCTTTGAAACAGAGGAGAACGCAGAGTGGCGATGATCTTTTAGGAGGAAGGAGAGTGATAACTCTTCCGGCACTAAAAAAAGACATGACAAGTGTTTATATTGCATTAAAAGGAATTGGTCACATCAACTAGATTCTTTGGATACTTATCCATTGTTTTCTTTCCCTTTCAACTGTCTTTCTTCCTCTCTAGCAACCAATACTCAAAACTACAAACCCAAACCTCTCAACTTTTTCACTTTCTCACTAGAGCCCGTTCGAGAAAAGGAGCCAATGATTTGAGTTCACGATAACTAAAATCATTGTGACATCTCTCGCCAACGAGGATGCTTGATTCTTAAAGAGGTGGATTGTGAAATCAGGTGTGTTCATCTATCTGAATTTAGTAGTATGTAGAAAAAAAAAAAAGCTTCTTTGTGAAACCCGTCCACTATGTTCGTAACAAAAATATAGAAATGAATAGTTGAAATATGGGCAAAAAGAATTCTAATAAAAGGCTATAGGTCAAAATTCAAATCAAGGTCATCCAACACCTATAAGTCTAGGTCGACGAGAACCTATTGACAAAACAAGTTAATTTAGCTAGAAAGCAGCTCGAAAGATTGAAGTCATAAAAAGGCGAGTAAGTGGCATGGACCATAATCATACTCGCATCCCAAATAGAGTGGACAAGAGGAAATGCCAAAGGGATGAAAATAAGAAACTGGGGTTGAATTTAGGTCGGCCTCTCAAGGAGGAACATGTCATACATGCCTCATGTTCGGTCGTGGTTGATAATTCGACTTTCACTCCTTTAATAGTGTACTTAGGAAGCCTTTTCCATCTCCGACCCCACCTATATGGGATCAAATTTCTCCAGCATCTTTTTTATAGGGTTAGGAGCAGAGATGATGATGCCATTTGTAACGAATAAAAATCTCTACTCGTTACGTTGGAATTAAATGAATATGTATATAAAGAGTTACCCATGGTCCTCAATAACAAAAGGCAGCAATAAATGAAAGGCAGGCACACCCATGTAAACATCCTTTTCCACAACTAGAATTTTAATTTAGTATTTAATATTTATAATTTTTCATGGGGGGTTTGAATGCACACGTGTTCAATAATCAGATGATGAGTGGATGGTCGGTGTAGAATGACGTGGTCGACTTCCATTCGCAGCTTTCTCTGTCGGTCAATACTGACTGGAAGAGAGAGAGAGAGGGTTTTGTGTTTTGTAATTACTAAAATTAAAATTAATGGGCATCACTGCCAGGTTGGCGAACCACATCCACACTGTTCTTCTCCAATCATTCCTTTTTTTATTCCTAACCTCTCCATCTCTTGTTTCCTCGCTGACGTGGCATGCCCGTTCCGTCTACTTTGAGGGTTAGTTGGCATGATATGGTGAATAGTTGGATATGCCACATCAGCATTTTATTAACAAAAGCTCCCAAGAGGGCAGAGATGTAAATTGATATACTAAACCCCAAAGTTTTTATATACTTTTTTAATGTTTAATTATAATTAAATAAAGAAATAAGATTATTGATAATTAGGTGTGGAAAATTGACTTAAATTAAATTAAAAAAAAAAACAATAATTTTTGCATTAAAAAAATGTTTTTTAAAGCCCCTACTTCATTGGCCCACCCTTATTGGTCAAATAGGTGTATCCATTTCTTTAAGTTGTTGATTAGTTTAATTATTGAGTTGTTGAGGAGGGAATTTTATATTTGGATTAATGTGTTCAAATAATTTGATGATTATATGTTATATATATATATATATATATATATAAATAAAAGAAAAGTATTGAAATTGACCAATAATTGTCTTGTTAAATTAATAAATATATTGGTGACACTGTCTCCATGTCTAGGCGGTAGGGTTTTGTGTATTATTATTATTATCATTACATTAATATAATTAGTATAATGATTTAGGTGATATCTATGTTTTATCTCAATAATTTATATCTCCAAACTTTAGGGCTCCTAACATTTAATCTAAATTATTGCTAATTTTACTCACTATATAATTTAATGGTCATTAAAATTTAAGGAATAAATTATATATGTTTAAAAATAATGAAAAGAAAAAAGGTCAATTTTGACCTGATATATATATATTTTTTAATTTTCGAAATAGAAGTACGCCAATTTTTGTGTTCCAAAAATGACCAAGTAGATTGTACGATAACAACTAAGAAGCCTAGAAAATTTGGTAGACATCATAAATATTGTAAGGATAGCATAATTCTTAGTAGGGATCAAACTCGATTCTATCGGATAAAAAATCTTGTTACTTGTCAATTTTTTTTTTTTTTACTCGTCACTTTTTATTCTTAGAGTCAAACCCGATTCACAATTTACATGATCCATAAGAGTTTGGAGATCGTTGACAATAAGTAACGAATAAAAGATTCAAATTTTTGATCTCTTAATCGAGAATATATATTTTAATCAGTTAAATTATACTCAAGTTGATAATATTAGACAAGTTTATATATTCGTTGGACCTATTGTATTCCACGAGAACATAAAAATCCCCCCACAAAATGGGAGACGAGAAAGATGTCCACGAATCTGCCTAATGTTTCTCCCTACATAAATCTTTTGGACATAACACACAGATATTCACAACAGCTCATTGATATGATTTTCAAGCATCATCCCACTTCATTTGATGTGACTTATCCATGATTTTTCCTTCACTTTAATATATATATATTATGTATAATTTATGGATACCAAGTTTCAATTAAAAATGTGCATTACTTTTAGGTTGGAGCTTACTTTATTTTTTAATTTTTCTCTTAACCTAAGTTGAAATCTACATTATACTTAGAAAAATGGATTTGAATATGAAGTAAAAATGAATTAATAATAAATAAAAAAGAAACCATATATAAAAACATTATAAAATTAAACAAAAAGGGAAAAAAACACAACATTAGGATAAGGGTTTGGTTAATCTATCATGTCATTTGTACCACACATCTAATAAATTGGACCAAACCACTTGTTTGTCAAATAGACCATTTATGATGTTCATATCATAATGTCAACTGCCCTGTACTCCAAGTTATCTAATAAATTCATGTTTGAATTTAATTATATAATTTAGTTCTTGTATAATTGGAAAATGAAAGCGGGTCACATTTCATCAACAAGGGCAAGTTTTATATGTGATCGAGAATGAAACATGTATGATTAAATATTGGATGGTTGAAATTTTGAATTTATTTTATTTGATATATAATAGGAGTAATACTTTTTTAATCCGAAGAACAAATTTTATTTTGACCCGTCGTAGTTAAAGATCGAAGAAAATCATGGCTATAAGTTTTTTCAAAACATTCGACTATTGTTTAGACACGTGTTAGACATTCATATCAAAATTAAGAAATTGGAGAATTTTTTTTCTTTCTAGATTGATCTTCTAAAAATTGACTATTCATAGAAAGTTGATATCAATCAAGTATCCAAGAATTAAAAATTCAATCTAATAAAGTATTTGGAATGCTATATCAACTTTAGATAAAGCTACATGACAATAGTGCATTAATTCAATTTCCACACCTTGATTTGATAGAGCTGGTTCGTGATTTTTTTATGAGTAGTATCTTTTCACTTTAATAAATTGTGTTACTTAATTCATTTAATAGCAATGTTCTTTCGTTTTAAAGACAACATGTGGTAGCCAATTTATAGGAATATCGAAGAAACGTACATTATTGTCATTCTTAATCGAGATTTAGGTTAACCTCCATCTCAGAACCTTGTGGGGTTAGGATACTTAGGAGTAAAAGTATCCTAAGGTTGACGCATCTTGAGAACTTCAATAGCTTTCTTTGGAGTCATTTCTTGTCTCATCTCCTGCCCTAGCATAGTACTTTACTTTCGGGACTTGGAAGAATCAACAGGCTTCTACCTTCTTTATTGATCTGAATAAAAGGAACCGTTTTTCTCTTCTCAACACAATTATGCCCGCCTAGCAGCCATTAGTGGACCTCTATGTGTGACATTAGGTCCATTAAGCGACTCCTAAAGTCACTAAATGCAACAACTTGAACTCCAAATTTCTCAGAGTATTCATTACATACTTGTAAACTTCAAAAATTTATTAAATTTAAAATTGAAAGTCATACAAACTTATCAAACAAACAACACAACCTTAAACTTCTTCGACTACTTTCATGTGTAGGTTACAAACAGATACAAAACTTAAGTCATACCTCAATTCAAACAAAGTTCAGTAGACAAAGATATAAATTACTATTTCAAAGTCGACAATTTAATACTTAACACGAACGAAACTCATTGCATAAGATATTCGTTACATATATATATATATATATATATATATATAATAATAATTATTATATGATAAATTAGAAAAGGGAAAGAGATAAAAGTGATAACACTCTGCAATTCTGAATCTCTGTCAATGTCTCTCTCACAAAGAAAGAGGGTAGGTGAGGGTGGTCAGCTACATACTACCTTTTCTAGCCAACTGTTTTTAGTAATTATTTTTTTCTTTACTATTTTTGATAAAATAAAGGATTTTTATTTATTTATTTACAACATAGTATTTTAATTCTAGATATTTATCTTCTAAAGTTTACTTCTAAAAATTAAAATGTTGATATCCGAGATATTTATTGTACTAAAAAAAATTAAAAATATATTTTTGAGAGAATCAAATTTACATAAATTTTCATGTATTATTTTTAGTTTACAAAAATAAACATCGATATCTAAACATTTAAATTCTGATGATTGAAACTTTTAATAGGTCGGTGTACCATCAAAATTATGTGACCCCATTTCAATTAAAACATGTTGGGAAGAAAAAAAATCGTATAAACAATCATTGATATAAGATTTGAATTCTTGTGATGGAGAGGGAGAGAGAAAGAGGCGATCCAATCTTGCAAATAATAATTATAAATAAGATTCGAACAAAAATCTAAGATTGATGCATGAACTTTTTAATACAAAACTAAATGAAATTTCGATCATTATCATATCAAATCAATCTTGAAATGTG